ATGATCATAAATCTGTCAGTTTCCCTTTAATTAATAATGTAAGGTAGAGATTCTCTTTGGTGCGTCGTTATCCAGTCCACTTGTTCATACAGAGAACTCCCCACCACATGAAATCCAGTCCACGTTTTACCTGCAACCTTAATAGCAACATGCTAACAGGTTAACACACAGAGCCAGCTCAGTGCAGCGTGAAGGCTCAGTGAAAACTGGATATACAAATGTTTTTTAAGAAAGTATTAATCATCACTGCTGGTGGTAACCGTAAACATAAAGAGTAGACGGACCACTAATGCTGCTGTCGAGCTGCGGGGCCGCCATCTTGGAAAAGTTGTTTGCTCAATGAAGTATCAGCCTGTTTAATCAATCATAACTCGCTGAAAACTAAACTGTTTTACACACTTTTTTTCACTGGAAACCCCAAACCTACAGCTGTCAAAGCTACACAAGAAGAATACATAGTTCAACTTATTTAAATATTCTTACTAGGGTTAACTGTAATACACTATCCAAATATATTATAAAAACATGATGATGAAATAATGATTATACAATATGAATATAATAAATTTATTTATGTTGTACGTAAATATGATAAGACTACAAATATATAATATACAAAAATTCTGTGTGTCTCCTGGGGGCTAAGCCCCCCTCGTCTTTAAAAGCTGGTGACACCCCTGCAGGACCACAGCAGGATGTAAACATCTGACCGTCTTTAGTCCAGAAGACATTAGACCTGTCCACGTGGACAGCTGCAGCTTCCACTGATGAGGACCTCCATGTTCTCTGTCCACAGACCAGAAGTTCACGGTGGAGGAGGCTGTGGAAACCATCGGCTTCGGACGCTTCCACATCCTGCTGTTTGTCATCATGGGCGCCACCAGTGTGAGTCTGGTTGTGTAGCAGGGTGGCCCACAGGTGTGTGTTCTCAGTAACCCGGTGTTTGTGTGTAGATTGTGGAGGCCATGGAGATCATGCTGCTGGCTGTGGTTTCTCCAGAGATCCGGTGTGAGTGGCATCTGGAAGACTGGCAGGTGGCTCTGGTCTCCACGGTGAGTTTCTGACTCATAATTCATGATGTCATCGCTGCGTCTCCARGGTGACAGATTAAATGTGATGAAAGTCAAACCTCAGTGATGTTATTTTAAAGATCAGTGTCTAAGATGTGAAGAGACACAAAGGACTCAGTGATATGAGCATTCATTTACAAGCAGGATGCTGCTGTGGATGGATGAGAGCAGAGCACATCACTTCCTGTTCGTGAATGGATGTAAGGCTGGGTCATATCATATCATTCACAGTAACACCTGTAAAAAAACTTTCCTGGGAAAATWAWTYATATCATGATGCTAATTTCATGACTGACGTCATTCTGTCCATGTCGGACAACCTGCTTGATTATAAGTTTATGTGTTCAGAGCTTCGTTATCTAACAGAAATGTGCAACTTTGTTCATGTGACCAAACTCGTGTCGTCCACAGCGCTGTTAGGAGCGAGGTGAGGTGCACACGGGCCGAGCTCAGAGAGAGCTGCTGCTCTTTCAAAATATTAACTCAGATCAACACTTTGCCCCAGTTTAGAAAAGATGTCTCCCTGCAAAAAAACAAAGAAAAAAGCTATGTTCTTATTATAAAAATCTACAAATTTCATTCTTCACATTATATCTTGCTTATAGTTAGAACCACACTGTGACTGAGCTGCTCTGTGATTCAATAAATGATCAAATTTGAAGAATAAATAGTATTACATGAGGTCTTTCAATAATATAACCTTTTTGAAAGGAACAGTTATTTTAATAGAGAAATCAGTCAGTCTAACAAATAAAAACATATATTTAAGTTATTTTGTGCAGTACAAAGGACATATTTATAAAATATAAAATTATACATGTTTGCGCTGAATAGTTATAATATGAGATGGTTAAATAAATGTATTGTAGGGGTCACCTCGAGTGAAGAAACAGGAGTTACTGCCTCAAAGCAGGAGGACTTCAGTTCTCTCTAATC